TGTTTCATAGGAGTTTTGACAGTATGATGTGTACGACGTTGATAATGTTGACCTATAACAAAAAAGAAAAAATTTAATTTATTGAAATGAAAAGTCTTTTCGAATAAAATTAATTTATACAAATAAATTTACCAGTATTAGTTCGTTCTTTAGTTGTTGTTTCTGGTGTAAGAGAAGGTTCAACATGTATTTGTGGTATATTTGTTCGATGTCGAGCTGATGTCCCTAATGTTCGTTGTTGATTTATATCACCTGAACTATTTGAAAAACGAATATCACCTACATTATCACTCGTTTGTTTTTGAGGTACGATAGTTTGTTTTGTTGCAGTTCCTTTATGTGATTGTTGTGATCGACGACTAGTTGGTACTGCACTTGGATTGACAACTTCTTCAAAATCACCATATGTACTCATAAAATTTTCTGTTGATCGCTTTGTAAGCGCATTAAAAATCGATGAAATTGAAGTAGATGGAGGACGACCCACACTTTTTGGACTAGTATTCATTGATGGTTTTTTCGAATGAGGACGATCATGAAGTTCATCAAAAATTTGATTTTGTTGTCGTTCAACATTATCATTCGTATCTCGTATAGATGGTAAATGTGTATCATAAAAATGATTTGAAGATGGTTGAATACGATTTGTATTAAATGTATTCAATCGACGAGTAGTTGATGATGCTGTTAAATGATTTGTTGAAGTAGGAGAATAAGCAGGAGTTTTTCGAGTACCAGCTACACATAATTCAGCAGTAGTTTCAGTTATAGCTTAAAATAAAACGATTAGAGTTTTATTTATTGATTTTAAAATATTAGTAATCTATTTTACATTTAGAAATATTAAATTAATACTTACAAAATATAAATAAATAAACGATTTTTATTCTTTTAAAAATAAAAATACTTTAATCTAGTTCAGTTAATTAAATTTTTTGATATAAATTATTATAATCAATAAAATAACTTCTCATTGATTGAAATAATTATTGTTTTTCTTTTTGACAGATTTTTTTTTCAATACTACATATAATTTTTTATTTCAAATGAGAGAATAACATCAACAACTCAGAAGAAACATGTGCGTTTGTACAATAATAAAATTTCATGAACATAGATGTAATATATATGCAGTTTGAAGGATTCATCTTCTTTTTACTTTCTCTATTATTTTTTTCTTTTAACAATTGATGTAAGAATGAAAGAATAATCTTTGTTATAAGGTAGTTTTTTTTCTCGGTGCATCTGGTTTATATTTTTTTTTCATCAGTATAGTTCAATTGAAAATGATTGCGTATTTTTTCAATATATATAATTGTATGAAAAAAAAAGAAAAACCTAGAACAAATTACCTACTGTGTACATGTGCATTCGTATAAAATTTAAAGATTTATATTTCTATAGGTAAAAACAAAAAGAAAATATTCTAATTTCCAATAACCTTTCACTGAATATGATAATCATAATGATGGTCTTATTTTTTACTATATAGGGTTTCAACAAACAATTTTTTCATTATTATTTAAAAGTAACTAGAACGAATAAATTAGATTTATTCTTACCATTTTGAATTTTACCATCACTACTACTTCGTAAAATTTTATGAAGAATATTCTGTTTGCGTTGAATAAGTGTTGAACAATTGTTAGGCATTCTTTTTGATAAATATTAAATCTTATTTTGTTAATCTTTTTTATTATTTGTTTTTTTCGTGTATTTTAAATTGAAGAAAAACAATAATTGATTGAATAGATAAGTATGAATATTAACATAAATGATGATGAGAAAACGATAACAAACAAACGAAATGAATAAGTTCGATGTAGTAGTTGGCACCTTTGTGTAATGATTGTTTTAAAGAAAGACAAGCAGTAATGGCAACAACACGACACATACGTACGTATTTTCTCTCAGAACAATTGAAGAGAGACAGAGAGAAAAAATTTGCATTCTCTCGTCTCACTCAAAGTCAAACATCTCCGTCGATACGTTGTCGTGTGTCGTTCGTTTTCTTGATTCTCCGTCTCTCTCTCTCTCCTTCTACTTCACACGCTCTTCCATCAAATACATCTGATCTGATTTTTGTACGTCTATCTACGTGTAATTCTTTTAATTTTTTTTTCTTTATTGTTTACAATAGCAAGAAAAATATAAAAAATACACAAATTCGAGTGATTGATTGATTGGTTGATTGATTGATTGATTAATGGATTTTGAGCTTATATTTTAATACAGATAGAAAGAGGCTATGAGAACTTGTTGAAAAGAAAAATAACATGAATTGATTCGTACTTTTTCTTTTATAATGTTTTCGTTAGTGAATCATGTCCTGTGGATTGAAGAAAAAAAGGAAGAAGTAGAAAGATGATGAAATTGTTGATTGATCAAATGTATGATATATTATCCGAATGACAAATATGAAAGGTAACATGGTTAAATGAAGTATCTCAATGTTGCATACTGTAGAAAAAAAAACTGATTTGTATATGGAATTGAATAACTTTGACAGTATAGTTACTTAACTTGAACAAAAAAAAATTTGCAAGAAAGTAATTGAGATTATTATTTTTCCATGTCGAGTTATTCTACAGCTGTTGTTCATTCTCGCTGTAATTGATAGAATCATTCATTTTATGAATGTATTATTGATAGGTAGGTGAATCTAATTAGTGACAAATATATTATGCATAGATCACACTCTATAAGCGATAATGTACCAGCTTGATACATATCTGAACTATAAATATTACGTTATTGTTATTGTTGATTATATAAAAAATGATGCCTCGATTTCTACCACCACCACCTCTTTTCACTCTTCCACCTCCACCAATGCCACCATCAGATCTATTTGATTTAAAAATAGTATCTCAATTAACTTGTTCGTCAATTCAACAACAATATCAACAAACAATGACTACTAGTTCTCGTTTAATTTTATTTACAAGTGCAAGTGTCATTGTTGCTATTCTTCTATTTATAATAACACTTATTTGGTTGTTATCATCTCGCAAACAAAAACAATCACATAATAATCATAATTTAAAATCAACACAACCGCCGACATCGATCGATTCAATGTTTGATTTGTCAACATCTAGTAGTCGTTCTTATGAAACTATATCATCTAATCATACCGGTGTTTATCTTGAATCTGTTGATACATCGGCTACTACTTGTTCAATAGATACAACCGGTGCAATATGTATTGAATGTAATCGACAGCATGGTCTTCCACCTGCACCTTACTATCATATTTTTCATGTACCTGATGTTGTACCAAACTAAAAAAATTAGATCAATTTATTTTTTTGTTTATTATGAAGTAGAACAGTAATTATTTTTGATCCTTATAAATAAATGAAACTTGTTCGTTCAGTTCAATATAAATTTAATGCCTAAGAATAGAAGATCTAATGAAGATCCAATGTATTAGTAAATTAGAAACAATTTTTGAAGTAATAATCTATTTTATGAAATGGATCATTAAGAATCAGAGATCATCTCAGGGCAGTTTTTTTTTCGTCCTGTTCTGCTCTCAGAGTCGGACCAGGGCATGTAAACTGAGATCAACTATGGAATGGGTTGGTATCATAACGAAAAATTTTTATTATGTTTATATTCAGTGCTCATACTTTGTTTATATAATTTCAAAAGAATATTACTCATGTACAAAAACGATCATAAATCTTTTATAAACCGATTTCTCTATTTTAGCATTTTCCTAATTTATTTTTATCGATTAAAATTCATTGATAAATTTTAATTAATAAAAACTGACAAATCTTTTTAATCGATTAGAGAGAATTAAAAACAAAATCTTGATAATAAAAAAGCAAAAAAAGCCGGACGATTAAAAAATCATATTATAATTGAGTAAAAGCAGTGTCATTTTTATTTATGCTTGATGAAATTTTTCTTTTCTAGTCTAATATCTTGCCTTTCTTAGCATGGATGCATGACACTAGTAGCATATTCATACAAAAATAAGATATCTGTCAATGAAAACATGAATTCTTTATGAGTGGACATCATCATTTAACAGCAGATCGAGATTCATTTTATTATTATTTGCTTAACGTACTTAAAATTTGAAAAGAGATGTTCAATCTCTTCGAAATCGAAAGAGTTCGTATTGAACGATGATAAATTAGAGTAAGTATCATATACACAAGTTCTAATGAAACCGATCGAAAACATGAAATCGTCACTAGTTGGTAGAATCAAGTAGCTGACACATATTGTAAAAGATTCATGTTTGCATTTAGGAAACGATTTCAAATGACTTTTTTATAAAAAAATGTTATCAGGACAAACTATTTTGCTCTATCCTGATGACGGTTTCTGTTAAGAATTAATAGTTTTTGATAGTTAACGTGATGTTATTCTAATATAAAAAAGATTTTAGATAGCTTGTAGTAAAACTTGAATTATTTATAATTTACATTGAATTATGTTCTTTAATAAATTTGTGAAGTAGTGAGAGTTCGTGCAGGATTTCTTTTATTCTCTTTTTATTTTCATCAATTCAAAACAATCTAAGTCTTATGTAACATACATTTCATCGCAAAATAACCGGAAACTTTTATTGAAAAGAAAATCTAATATCAGAATAATCTATTTTTAAATACATATCGAATAAGAATACGTTTATGGGTCAGAACTCATTTTCATAATCGATTTTTCTCCATCAACATATAATATGTAGGATGTATAGTGCATTTATCTGCGTAAATATAGATCAGTCATACACATATACATATACATATACAAGTAATATGAAATTGATTCTAAATGGAAAATTAATTTCATGTTGTTGTTCTATTGAATAGCTTTCATCTACTTCTCATGCATGTTATCGAGCACAAAAAAAAATATATATGGAGTGATGAGAGAAACATGAAGATCGAATAAATATTATTCATTATTCTGGCCATTTGTTATTAACAAGAAACACTATTTTTGTTCTTTATGAAAGTGTACGTATATCTGCAATTAAGATGGAGTTAAGTTTCTTAAATTGGAATAAGAAACAACTTTTATTTATATTCATTTTAACTATTCGATTAAATACTGAAGCACAGTCATCAAATAGCAACAACTCTGTTGAAAACGTGCCATTAAATTCAAATTTCAGTGAGTTGACCAGTTCAATAACTCGTTTCATAAATGGTGTCAATACTAACGATACTATAGTATTCTCTTCTAACAATGCAACAGAAATTGTTCTTCCCTCATCAAATCATCTCGATTCTACTGACATTCGAAATATATCTACTAATGAAACATCTATTAATGGTGCATATGCAGTAGAAGATATTTTAAATACAATGAATACAACAATATCACATAATAATTCGCCAAGGACAATGAACCTAGCAACGACTTTATATAATACATCCAACGATAGTTCTGTAAATGTACAACCATCCATCCATCAAACGAAAATGCTCTATAATTCGTCATTAGTTTCAAATGATGCTATCAATTTATCCAATTCATTCGATTCGGTTAGCTACGATCTATTAGAAAATACAACAGCAATAACAAATGTCAACAGTAGTAAAAGCTCAATTGAGAATAATATTACATCAAATATAATAATTTCAACATTAATTAATTTAAATAACAGTATTCAGTTAAATCAACTGAACGAATCTTCATTATTAAATGATATAGGTTCATTAAATTCCTCTGCTATTATTGATACTAATACAACTAGTATGTTTTTAATTTGGAATACAACTGTTGCTGTGCAACCTGTGAGAGACTTTTCTATGTCCGTCCCGAATACTTATGAGATCAGCAACTCTTCGAATAATACTATTGTTGAAAGTTTTGATGCCACTATGTTATCATTCATGAATTCTACTGGTAATGAGCGATTTAATATAAGCGATTCATTAAATACAACTTTAGTTATTCTCCCATTAGTAGTCGATACCTTGATATCAAATTTGACATATCAAAATTTGCTGCCTTCTGCCAATGATACGTTAACGCAAACAACATTCACTGTTGAACCTACAAATTTACATCCTGAACTGAGTCAGCAAACGGCTTCTAATGTTTCATTAGAGCCGGCTTCCCCGAGCCTTTCGAATCAAAACCTAACATTATCCATTAATACTTCAGAAACTGTTACTTCTCTCATGTCGGAAATGACAGGATTACCTTTATTGATGACAAATTTTTCGAATTCAAACTTATCATCCTTTTCGAATGAGATAGAAAGTCATATGTCGACTGCTTTGCTTCATACAGAATCAGTACCAGAGACTGTTCAACAAACTGACCGTGCACTTCCAATAACTCTGTCTACATTGATATTTTCGGAAGATAATTTAGTACTTACATCGAATACTACACAAACAAATTTCGCAACCGAGTCACTAATTAGACCACAGCTGCAAAACACAGCTCAAACAACTAATGATACACTTGTTTTCACACTAACGCCATCGGATGAACCCAATGCCCCTTTAGCATCTGAACCAAATCTTTCTCAATCGAGTGTAAGTCAAGATGTATTTCCAACAGAACCGACAGTCCTTGTCACTCAGGAAACATTCAATCCACTTCTTCCGACAGAGAATGTCCAAATAAATCTTAATCAGAGTGCAGCGTCTCCTCTCGATGGGATTCAAATGAGAACATCAGCAAATGTTATGACTCCACAACCTATTGAGACTCTTTCACCAGACACTAATTTGAATGAAACTTTGCCACAATCCTTGAATAGTACACAAGGAGCCTTGCCTTTTGAATCCTCACGCACTGAATTATCTCCTGCAACAATGCAGCCAACATTTGATACTCTTCCACCAATCATATCATCTACAAATCTTTCAAATCAAAGTTCATCGGAAGTTTTGGATATTACACAAGGAACTGTGCCTCTCGATTCATTAGTGACTGAATTATCAGCTGAGACAATCCAGCAAACACCTATTACTCTTACGTCTCTCACATCATTGGAAAATATTTCAAATGAAAGTTTGATAGCAGTTTCAGCTATTACGGAAGAAGCAGTTTCTGTTGATTCATTATGGACTGATTTATCATCTGCGACAATGCTTGGCACAGCAGATTCTTTGCCACTGGTGACTACATCGACAAATGTTTCAGATGAAACCTTAGTGGCACTTTCGAATAGTACACAAGTCAGTTCACCTTCTGATTCGTTGGCAACTAACCTACCTATTGTTTTAAACGAGAATATTACTAATACTCTAGATTTTATCACAATATCGTCGTCGCTTCCGAACACAAATACGTCGTCTTCTATGAATAACACGGAAATATTTTTCGGTTCTGCCTCGTCATCTACAGAAGTACCTTCATTCACAGCCGAGGGAACTATCGCCACTGTTGAATTCTCTCAAGTTTCTTCAATAGGTTCAAGCGAAACCATGTCGTTAATTTCAAACACTAGTGACATGAGTGCTTCGCCGGCTTCGATCCCTATGGAAGAAATGCCTTTTACAACACTTCAAGCCGTTGAAATAACGTCATTAGTACCTTCTGCAACGGAACTGAATCAAAATGTTCCAACATCTTCTATTGATATTCAAACAGATTCTGCTAATCACTCGATGCCTATGCTAGTATCATCTGCTACAGAACAGGAGTCTTGGAGTATACCTTCATCAACATCAATGTCATCTTTTCCTTTGAATGATAGTTTGGCATCATCTGCAAATGTTACATCAACAAACATTCTTCCTATATCAGAGACCATAGGCGTCGCTACAGACACAGCAGAATCGACTGGTAATACTCTCGAACCGATCGTACCAGCATCAATATCTCCAAATGAAAGTTTGCCATCTTCATTCAATGAAACAGAAACAAACATGTTTTCGAGTTCAATGTTCACCACACCATCTTTCATTACAGTACAGAATACTCTCGATACATTTCCCTCAGAACAGCTTTCGGCTAGTGTTCCTAACCAAAGTGAACCGATATTACTAACGACTATAAAAAGCAATGAAGTAGACAGTTCTTTTGCTTCACAGCATATGATATCTTCTACTATAACACTGGAACAGGCTACCAACAATCTTCCGGTAACACAATCATCATTGCTTCTTGAGAATGAAAGTTTATCTTCATCTTCAAGTAATACATTACAAGATACTTCATCTAATGAAGGAATTATCGACACCCATACTATTACAATTGAACAAACAACAAATACTCCTATATCAAGTTCAATACCTTCATTTGCACCAAATCAAGATTCATCATTACCAGTATCCCTAGATACCATTGTAAATAGTCCAACAAGTAATACGGAAGAAACAATACAACCACCAATGTCTACTGAATCACTACTATCTACATTAGCAGAAACTAATCCTACTGAAACTATCTATATAAACAACGGCATTGATACGGCTGAAAGTTCCAGTATAACGGTTCAAGTAACAGCTATGACTCCATTGCCTACGTTGTCGCTTCTTACCAGGCTAATGTCTTCATCATTGTCGCAGTCAACAGTTTTTTCAAACAGCAATGATTATATTGCGGAAGAAAGCACAATTGAGTCGACAGAAACTAACTTTGTGACTTCATCACAAGAACTTACTAGTCCAAATCAATATTCAACTAACTCGCGCACTTCAAATTTGCTACTTTTATTAACTACACTTATGAGTCATTCTGAAGTTACTACATCATCACTTCCGACAGTAACTTCTATGCCAATATCTATCACAGAACCTACTAGCTTTAGCCAATCATTTTCTGACTATTCTACTGCTTTCTCATCTAGTGTACCTTCACTGATATCGTCGATTCACAATACAAATCCTGATATTGGTGGCAAAGATTCTACATCTGCAACGAATATAAATACGATAAACTCTATATCATCTTCTCAACAAGTGCCTGAATCACTAGAGACTACTGTTACCATCACTAGTTCAATGCCACTTGAAACTACTTCAACAATAATATCCTCAATACAATCAAGCTCAGTTACATCATCAACATTAGCAAACACTCTTTCTAATGTTGCCATTTCTATTCCTAGTGAAACTTTAACAAACACTGTTAGTTCATTATCTTCGATTTCAATTGACAATGAACGAAATACGATGAATACTATGTTAATTTCAAATACTTATATGAGTCAAACCAGTCCTACACCAATCATATCAAGTTCATTTGAAACTCAAACTATATCTACCTCATTGCCTTCATTAAATAGTATTAGTGATGTGCCTTCAAGATATTCATCCAACATACAAGATATGACAGGTTCTGAAAATCCATCATCATCAACTTTCAATCCAATATTTTTGACTTTAATACGTACGAGTATGTCATCCGCGGACAGTTCCATTTCATCTTCGATGACAAGCCAAACAACAAGTTATTCATCTAGTTTTCTAGAAACTACTGCTTCTACTCAAACAATATCGACATCAACAATAACAAGCAATGGGACGACTTTTCTTTCTTTACTATTAACAACATCTGGTGTATTAATGTCTAATGAAACATCAACAACACGAAATATGAGTTCAAATATTCCATTTACAACGCAAATAAATTTTAATACAACTAATATTCCACGTAAATAGAAAAATAACATTTTTTAAAAAATATTTTTCTAACTATTGTTTTTATTAATAGTCTCCAGTAATTGTGTTTTTCCATTTCGTTATCTTGGTCAATGGTATGAAAAATGTATAAGTGATATTCTCAATGATAGTTGGTGTTCATTAACAGTTGATTTCGATCGAGATCGACAATGGAAATATTGTCGAGGTAAATAAAATGAACAATTCATATGATAATAATTTATGTCTTTAATAAACATTTTTTGCAAAATATTATTTTAGCACCTCGTGTTAAAACTATCGGTGGTACAGGAAATGGAAGTGATTGTGTCTTTCCATTTGTTTATAAAGGCACATCATTTTCAACATGTATTTATCGTACAGAAACGACAATGACATCAAAATCGTTTGTATTATTTTGTTCAGTTACATCCAATCTTGATAAACATGGATTATGGGGATATTGTTTAGGCAAGACTCTTTATTTTTTCTTCTAATATGTTTTTTTTTATTGAATGGAAAATTATAGATTATGATTCATGTTACTTTCCATTTATTTATAATGGTAATGTCTATTCAGATTGTATCAGTGGACCACAATCAGCTCGTTGGTGTTCAACAACATCTAAGTAAGTCTAGGTTTTATTTAATCCTTTTGAGAAAAATTTTTTACTATTCCTAGTTTCGACCGTAACAAAATGTGGAGTAACTGTCCTGGTATGTTATAATTATAAAAATCTAATTATCGTTTCAATAATCATTTATTCAATTTTAATTGAATCAGTTAATATATAAATGAGAAAGGGTTTTTGATTAAGTTTTAGCATAGACGACTGTAGTTTGTTACGAAACAGGTGATTGTGCAGTATTAGCTTTCGTCATTGATATATTAGAACTAATATTACGTTTCATTGATTTGGATTTATTCAAAACAGCACTACGTGTTGATGATGTCAAAGTCTTGTTTGTTTTTATTGCTGATTTTTTCTTTGATTCCGATTTATTTATTTTATCATTCTTCTGTGAACTTTTTCCTGTACCATTAAAAGTTCGCGTAGTTGTATATTGTGGATCAATCGATTCATTTGGTCCTGGTTTATAACCACTACGTCTAGTTGTTGTCCAATCAACACATTTATTTGAATCAAAACCACTAGTATAAAATAAATATAAGAAAATGAAAAAAATACAAAAAGAAGAAATCTAATCTATTTTATTTATTAAGATTCTTACCAACGACTCTCTTCAATTGACATCGATTCAAATAAAGAGAAAAAGAAATAGTAAAGAAAAAAAAATGCTGAAGACGAACACACAAAATGAATAGATTCGATAAAATGTTTCGTTTTTTTTGCGCTAGAAAAGAGCGCTTTATTGTATTATTTTTGTTTTCTTGAATATTTCAGTTACTTGTGATGGTTATCCACAACAAGATCAAAACTCCGTTGGTTTTCGATTATTATTAGATCAACGACCATGTGTATTCAAACAATCAATTGCTCGCGATACTGGTGTTCTTCTTAAGTATTATGCATTACCAATATGTCAATTAGAACCATTATGTCGTGATAATTATGTTCCATTATTTAAACAAATACTATGTCAAGAAGATGGACGATATAGTTATCCAAGAACAATTTGTTTACCAAGTAAATAAATGTTAATATATTAATATTTATTAATATACTAGCATAACTTGTTTTTTGTATATTATTTTTCTGGAAAAGCGCTGACCGATCGAATGATGTAGTTTTTATTTCTCATATTTTATTTAAATTTTAAATAAAGTAATAAACAATCATTGTTTGATGAAACCTTTTCTTTGAATTACTTTTTAATTATAGAACGTGTCTGATCATCAATAAGAAAAAGAAAAGTCATCACTCTTTGATTTTTTTTTGTAATTTTTCATTGGCTACTAATAAATAAATACAGATTGTGTTACATAGAAACTCATTCTACTCTTCTTTCTGTGTTGTATAGCATTCAATTGTAATCGTACATACAATTAATATTTTTTATTAGTAATCTGTTTGAATTAATTTAATATGACAGATCGTTCAAATCGAGATGTTCAATATATTCTTATACCAAACCGAAAACCAAAGATAACACCACGTTATTATTATTACGATGATGATGATGATGATAATGATAATGAGGTACAACTAGTTACAACTAATAGAAGAATCGTTCGAAACAAACCAATTGAAGAACAACGAACTAAACATGTTAAAATAAATAATTTTGAGTCTGAAGATCGACAACAAAATGTAACTGAATCTAATGATGTATGTATTTTTGTTTCATCTTTTTCTTCTTTTTTTTTTAATTCATTTTTATAAATACTCTATCAAAGAAAAACAATAGGATAGCCGTCATGTAATGTTTGTTTTCTTTTTCTTTTTTTTTTTACATAGCATGGAATAAAAATACGCAATACAAGTGATGGTGAGCAAATTATATTTGATGAAGATGATAATATTATCAAAATAATTCGAAATAAACGAACACCAACTCCACCAATTGTTGACAGTCGACGACTCAGAAATCGTCGTCATGAGCCTCGAACAGTTTATTATGAAACTTCAGATGGTCATTTAATAACACGTCAACCAAACAATTATGATCTAATTAAAAACAAAAGTAAATATGTTTATATTAATGATGAACCAACAAAAATTTTACGAAAAGTAATTATTAAACCTACAATCAATGATCATGAGACTATTTATGAAAAAGATAAATATACAAAACATTTACCACGAAAACTTAAAATTCAAAAACATATTAATGAAATATCAGTTGATACTGATACTAACTATGAAAAACAACAACCACAATATGTTGAAATTGTACGACGACGAATAATACCAAGAGAAGTAATAACCGAAAAAGAATCACCAAAAAAATATGTGCTAGTTAGAAAAAAACTCCATTCCGAACCAATATATGAAACAACATCACCTCTTCCAACAATTACAACTAATCGTCGTATGGTTCGTGAAGCACCAACAAAAAAAATATCAACTAAACATGTCTATGCAACAGATGAAAAATATTACAAATAATTTTTAAATAGACATACGAATGTTTCTCAGTTCTTTCTTTTTTTTTTTCTTTTAACAAAACATACACAAACAAAATCATATTCATATTAATGATCAATTACTAAAAAAACACAAAAAGAAAAATGATTATTTTTTTTTATTTTTAATTATTTCAATTTCAACTTACTAAACAGTTGTATAAGGTGGAAGTGTATATTGTTCATAAGCAAATTTATCATGATTATAACGTAAATCACGTAGGAGACTAATTTCAGCTATTTCAAGTTCAAATGGTCCATCAGCAGCATCAATAATAGATATAGACATTTGTGTACATGTAAGTGGTTGAAAAGCATATTGTCTATCACTAATACGTCCCATATTATTACGAAAAAATTGTGCAAATGGAATTTTAGCTATTGACCAATAAGGACCACCACGTGTATATAAAATCATTGAATACATATCAGACTAAATTAATAAATGTCAAATGTTTCAAAAAAGATTTTCTTTTTTTGTTTTTAATTTTTTATTAACTAACCCAATGATGACGATCTTGATCAGGCGTATGAAATCGTATTTCATAAAATCGTCCATCACCTCGAACACGTAAAAGAATATGAGTAAAATTAGTCCAACCTTTTTGATGAGCTGGCATAAGAAATGTTCCTCGTAAACGTTCAGAAAACATAATAGCAAAACCACTTTGATTATATAATGTATTTTGATTAACCATTTTCGATGATATATGACCACGAAATAGAACTGAACCATGTCCACTTGGTACAAGTTCAGCTGTTGATTCACCAACACCTTCGTCAAGATCTGTTCGTACAGTCCATTTTTTAATTTCTTCATTATTAGCAAAATCATGTATTACCATATAATCATTATGAAAAAATTCATGTCTAAGAATAAACAACCAATTTTTATTATTATTAAACATATATAACTTGTCAGCAATATCGAAATTTGAACAATTTATTATTCTTTTTTGACGTTCTTATGCCACAGTTGGATAGAGCTCGTCGAGTTACTTCTAAAAACGTTGTTTTTTTTACAGTTGCGAACGATGTTTGTGTAGTGAAATTTAGAAAAATGTAGGTAAAAGAAATCATAAAAGCTTATAAAACTGAGATGTACCTGAAGCATCAAGTCTCGGTAGTCTCAATAATTATCCAAATTTTTTTCAGTTTCAAATGAAATGAATATCATATTTAGATTTAGCACACAAACATACATCGAATTGTATACTCAATAATTAAAATTAATTTTCGTCAAATTTTGACTTTAGGGAAGCACAAGTCAGAGTATGCGAAAATAACAGTAAAAAGGTGTAACGACCGAAATTTGACGAAAGTTAATTGCAAGTATTAAGTAAACAATTCGCGTAGAAATTTGTTTGTGCTGATATTGAATATGATGTTCGTTTCATTTGGGACTGAAGTCCTGATGATTAAAATCTTTGAATACAAACCAATATTTATGACGTTTTTCTATCATATCGAAGAAATTGATTTTCTGAACAGTTGAACAATACTTTTCAAAAAGTATGGATAATTTTGTATATGAAAAACAATGTTTTTATAGACAACTCGATGAGCTCTATCCAACCATGACATAAGAACGTCAAAAAAACAAATTTACTCAAATTTTGAAATTGTCAACACCATATATGTGTATAGCAGGGTGTTTCATAAGTATCAGCACCATTTTTATTTTTTTTGATGATCTTTGCCATATTTAAAGGTGAATAGACATTGATGACATTAGTAAAAACATTGAAAAAAAACTTATCAATTTTTTTAAAAATTTTCCCTGTCAAGGTTAGGAAAAATAGCAGTTATTCACTCACTGTGAGTCACTTTTGTTGTTCTATTATTGTTATACGTTATTCAAGTAAGACGAAACCTATTTTCGCGTACATATAGGGGATAACAGCAAAATAGTGTCATACTCGAACTGGAGGAACAAAAGTTTAGAGACTATATGTTTAATCGATGTTTATCACAAGGAATTATATGCATGGAGGATTGACACGAAACGAATCCCAGTGGCTCATTAGGACTTACTGAACATCACCACGATCTGAAAAGTTTTAATCGAATTTTTTTTGACAAGAGAAAAATGAAGCTTCAAATTTTCTCTGAAATGGTTATCATGTTTCAGCAACGAAACAACAAAAGTAGCTTGTAGTGAACGAGCAATTTGCTATTATTTTTAAACTATAATTATATTCTTATTAATTCACTGGTGATACTTTGAAATTTTTGATACAAATTTCCATTATAATGTCTTCCATTTAAAAAAAAATATTGATATTAAAGATAGAAAAGAAACTTGATAAAATTTTCACTAATGCAACATTTTTTAAAAGTTCATACAAATTAAGTGCCATTTCTCTTGGATGATAGCTCAAATGCTACTCTTCAAAAAATGTATCGTCAATGTTCATTCACCTGTAAATATGGAAAAGATCTAAAAAAAATGGAGCAGATACTTATGGAACATCCTTGATTTGAATACCTTCTATCCCATGGTTGTACTTCTTTCCACCATTTATTCCATTCAGGTAAAAGAGTTTCTTTTAATAAACGCATTAATTGACCATCACGAATAATTTGTGTAAGACTTTTTTGAAGACGTCGACGTTTCTTCGTTGCTAATGCTTTAGTTGG